AGGAGACGTGGCCGTGGAACGGAGGAAAAAAAAACCGCTTAAAATATTATTATGTACTCGGGTTTTTGGGAAATTTAATAGACTGCCCCACAGAGGCCGCCGACGGTTAGGTTGGCGCCGTATTTTTGGCGAAGGGGCGGGAAAAAATCGAGCGCGCGCAGAAGAAAAATGTACATAATGACATGACGCGAAAAGACGGTAAATGAAATGTGTCACGGTGTGTGTGTTCCATATGTGATATGGTATGCGGGTTTTAGTCTGGTCGTTACGGATGATTATTAACTGGCGACAACATTGTACCGTACAATATTAATAAGAACATTGAAATACATTTTTCAGTAAAATTATAATGGTCGTTCGTCCTTCTTATCGCGGTCCAGACAGCCAGTGCAATGAGGGATAGCCGCCGCCAAGTAGTTTCTGTGAGAACATATTTTACTGCCGCATCAAATTTCATTAATTTCTTGTTGTTGATTTAACTCGCGTCTAGTACTCGACAGAGCTGCGACTCAATTATAACACTAGATTATTCTTTCCCACAAATAAAATATTAGAACAATATTAATAACATAAATAATTTAATATTATTTCTATCACGAATTATTTTCAAAGACCTCAAAATATAATATAATATTGTAATACAATATTCAAAAAAAAATTATTTATATTTTATAAATTATTGTGTTGATTGATTATTTTACAATTTAATGACAAAAAATATGATTACCTATATTAAATTAGGCTGTATCACAGTTATTATAATATATTCTATTGTATTGTTTACAAATATCTAGAAATATAAATGGACCCGATAACTAGACACCTATTATACATATTATAATATGTATGAATATTAGCAATAATACTAAATGTCAACATTTGTTTTCGCGTAGACATAATATTACTGTGCTTCTAGGAAGTTCACAACAATCGAAAAACGGCAAAACTATTACAATAGCACGACCGGCGACCACATACATATCATGAACGTGTCGTTTTAACGTGTAAACGATAATCATATGCATGGTAAAATCTTTCGAGTAATGCGAAGGGTGGTAAAGGCACGAACGTCAAATGATAAATTTTAGTTGATTTTTTCTTCGGCGGAAACCGTTCCTTACGTTCAAACTTCAACGTTATCTTAAATAGAGAGAGATATTTTACATTTGAGTCCACTGACCCTCAGCTACAATGCATCGAATGAAAGAGAACAGAGTCGAGTCTGCGATAAACGAATTACAGTATTGTGACCAGTGAATTTAGTTTTAATGTAATTTAACAGAAACCATACATTTGGTATAGTCTTTAAAAATAATATATTTACTCTTATTTTTAACATAATAATATAATAGTTTTCTTTCATTTTTTACTATCGATTTTTAAATACATACTACTTGGTTTACAACAATTTTGTTATATTATGTTTATTATTTAATATTTTAAAGTTTTTTTGAATATATAACTCATGCCCGTCACACAATTTGGTCCAATTGCTGAACATTTCCCTTTGTGAAGTTTTCCAAAATTCATCAAAGCGTATTATTAGTTACCAAAATTTCAAGACTTAGCTTTTAATAAGTGTTTACTCCATTACTATAATTTAGTTTTACGTCCACCTAAATGTCGGATTACTTAAATACATGTACACTAAAAACCTGCAGTGGTCGGAAAAAAAAATTGTAAAAATACAAAACTGTCCGTAATTTGTTAGGCATTACAATGTGTGTTTGTAGAAAATTATATCATTAAATGTACCGCGGAACTACAAAGGCCAAAACGGGCACAGTCAAACAAAAATTCGGCACACATGATATCTTTGATGTCCTCGGTTGTACGTCGTGTACGACGGGTATGCGTTTGTGCACACGCCGAATCTACCTGTATAGTCGGCGATAACGCCCTTTGAAGAAAAAAAACTACCAATTTTATTGTACCCAAAAGAGTGTAACATATATATATATATATATACCTACCTAATGTGTGCGCCAACGACCAATATTAGGTTTGTCGGTCTTCGCCGCAGCTAGTCAAACGCAAACACTGTTCTCACAATGTGTTTTCTTTTACAACACAGACACATAAGGTAGGTATATATTGAAATATACATATATAATATTATGTACATATTGTAATATGTTTTACGTAATAAGTGCATTTAACGATGAAATATGAAATTTAACTGTCGCCTTACACAAATACCCGAAAGAGAGCCCAAAGGCCGACGCAAAACAATATAGTTAAAACGTTTAATAATAAAAAGCAGATTCCAACAAAATGTGGAGTGTGAATGAATTATTGGACCACCATGAACCCAGTTGTACCCAAACTGTTGGTTGGATTTCAAACATTTTCAGTGTTATAAAAAAACGAATGCTCTATGATTAGGTTTTATTTCCAACTTTTGAGTGCGTTTATCCCACTAGGCTCGAGTGTTCTTATATAAGTGAACCTTTTTGAATGACATCGGAGTGCATAATTTTGTATTTACTCTACTATTTGTCTGGATACTAATAAAAGAAAGACAATAGTATGAGAAATGTTAGTTTTCGGTTTGGCCATATAAACCTGTATGCATCCTGCAATTGTTAGTCACGTGTAGATTAGTTAAACGTCATTATTTGAGCTACAGCCGTTAGGCTTTGTAATTTTGACGGGCTATATTTAGATTTTTGAAGAAAAATAGATGTGGCCCCTGCAGGTGCACGAATAAAAACGTCGTTGATGGGCTTCGGACGATTTTCGTCTATATACATATATACATATATAATTACGGATGTCCTTAGGGTTTTTTGTGTTTTTTTGGATTTTTAAACCTATTAAACGCTCGTAACAAACTAATATAATATTCTTACAGTACACACACCAAAATGCAACGTTAATCGATCAGATATGCTGTGAAGGATATATATAGGAGGGTTCAAAAATTATGCTCCGTCTCTCTTATGGGTACTCGGTGGTGTCCGTGCGGTTGTGTCGCGCACAAAACAACATGCTCGACTCGGATTTATGGAAATGTACCATAATTATCTGGATATACGGAATATTCGATTGGTGAGTGTAGGCCGAACGGATAACCTGCCACCATTCGAATGTAAAATAATAGCCAGTCTACTAAATTACCATAAACTATATAAATATATATATATATATATATTAAGAGAAATACTCGGATAAAAAACAATTCAACTCGGGGTAACACTCGGTGTACAGTTTTCCGGTTACACCTTTTTTTTTTTTTATTTTTTCGAGGGAGTCCCATTTGTGCGCTTCACAGACGTCCAGGAATGAGAAGGTTTTGTTTACATTATATATTAAGTATATGAAAAAAAATAACCACGCATTATCGTTATATAGATATTTTCTTAGATATATATTTTTCGACCGACCAGACCCGTTACCCGCGCTCGCCGGCTTTTTGACATGACCGAAATATCTCGTTTACGATGTCGCCACCGCTGTCACCTGAGCCACAACAACGATTATTCTATATTATTTGTAAGTGTATACGTGTGACTCTATACACAGTTACACCATATGATGTATATTATGCTCTCGGGTACCACAATGGGGTGTTTGACAACCGGCGTGGACAAAAGCCACTAAGAGATGCGTTATTTTTTTTTTTTGCATACTTAAATACCATTATTTAGCTGCTCACCGGACTGTGGATGGAAAAGGGTGGCGCGAAAAACGCATTGCGTTTATACACGTGGATGTTTCTCACGCGCCGCCGTTTGCACAACATCAATAAAGTTTTGTGTCAACACTACACAGAATATAATACGGGGTTACATTGTATATGCCCGTGTGTGTATTCTGTATAGACATCCGACCGGGCGGTTTCTTTGACGGCGAAGAGGAAACAAACATCCTATATATGTATTGTATTGTATACAGTGTGCACGCATGGGTGTGAAAAGGCCTTCCGCCGACAAAAGGGAAGAGACCAATAAAAAAAATAAAAACGTACGCGTCATCGCATCGGTCTAAAGGGTTGTTGTGTCTTTTTTTCGGACAGTAAATTTTCAAATGGAAACAATATAACAAACTCGCTGCACAAGAAAGAATAAAAAAAAACTCCGGGCCGGGACCAAAAAATAAACAATAATTATTATAGAAATGAAAGAGTTCGTTGTAAATGCACGGCAGAGAGACACGGTAGACGCGAGCCGCCCCGAATTCGGTAATAACATAAATCTTTGAACGAGAGTGACAGACGGGCTAGCAAAAATATTTTTAATCATATTACGTACCTGTACATATATTTTTTAACAGAGTTCTTTTTTTTTTTTTGTCTACCATGCTTTTTAAGTACGCGTTCCCCAATATATTATGTTATACAGGATATGTATTAATATATACAGCAAAACGAAATTACGGGTTTGCAAATATAAAAAAAAATAAGTATATATAATATATATGAACGGATTTTCTTCATCCATCTGGGTCGGGCGCGTTTGGACGAGATTAATATAAATATTTATATTTATTATTTACTTAACGTGCCTACTGCCTACCAATAATATCAGTAAAAGTTAAACGCTTATTTTGTTGTCAGTTTCTATCTAAAATATAATATTATATAGAGTATATCGGGTGGAGACTTAAACGCGAGTGAAGTAAGTAATAAAATATTACGAGAAAAAGAGAGATAGAGAGAGAGACTTTAACGCACACGCGTGAGCTGAATGCGAATTACTACCGGCGACCTCCATGTTTTATTTATTAGAAAGGGAAAAAAATTGCGAATAGTTTTACCGGATAGAACATCTTTTATCAATCGACAAACACACAAATGCCAACATATATATAAATGTTGTATTACATATTATATACACATTCAAGTCGAGTAGGTTCAAAGTATAAATATATTCGTTATCTGACAAATATTCTAACTCGCCGTTTGGCCTTATCACTTAGGACGGGATTGCCGCGAGTAAGAAGCAGGTAAGTGCAAGAGTTGGACGCCGCTATCAGTAAGAAAGTTTTCGTTTATTTACCTGTTAATCCAATAGCGATTTCCGGGCGCGTAAACGGTTCTGCCGGTGGTTTAGCCGGCAAAACGTGTGCAAGTCTTTTCGAGTAATCCAAATCTAAGAGCTATACTGTATAATATATAATCGGATATCGCGTTCACGTCGTGGACGAAAGCCGCGCACTACCGAAAGCTGTAATTTTCGTCGCGATAACAGCTACGTTATGTGTTATATATTATTGGTTTAACGCCTTCACACCGTTTCTATTATAACGTAACCACACATTAATACACACACACACGCGCGAACGGCACAAAAAAAAACTCGCGATAGATTAAAAACTAAAACGAAACAAAACCCTGGCGAATTTACTTTTGAAAAAAAAAATATATTTTCGTTTAAAGATAAGAAAATAATATCACATAAACAAGTGGCAACGAAAACGGGCGGTGGTATATACGGCACGTCATCGACCGAACGTTCGGTTATGGCGGTTGTGCACTGACTGGAGCCCAGGCCGGCGGTCCTGACAAGAGAACTCGTTTTTTGTATTTGTGTGTATGCGAGTGTGAGTGAGTGCGTGCACTCGGTTCCTCTCGGGTGTCGGGGACCGATGCGCGCGCCGAGGATCGCGGGGCCCGTGGTCGTAGGCACAGTGCAGGTATATACCGTACGGCGGCGACCTGACAAGGACGGCGCGAAACTGGTTTACGGCGGCCGGAGAGCAGCCGCGCGGGGTCCACGGTGGAATGATAGCCGGTGCCGCAGTGCGTGCGTGTAAGCGCGGCCAGTGCACGCGAGTGAGTTTAATATAATAAATACAGCAACGTGTGTGTGTGTGTGTGTGTGTGGATACTCGGGCCGGGAGACATGGGAGAAACGTACCTGTATCGCGCCCGTGCGTGTACCTGTGTGTGTGTGTGTGTGTATGTATATTGTGCCTATCCGAGTGTGTTCTCCGATCCGAAATATTGTCAGGGAACCGACCGGCGAATTCCACCGTCGCCGGTCAGGTCGTCGCATGGAGCGGTGGGCGCCGCGCGCCAAAGTCGTGCGACGCCGCCGATAGTTTTTGTTTTATATTTGATTCTCAGTGGAGGGAGGCTGTAAGTCGACAAACAGCGTTTTTAAGAGCCACCATCCCTGTACGCAACGAGAGATAAATATGATATTGATGGTAGAAATTTTGCGTCCACGAGGGGGTCTCCGCTGCTGAAATATCCTGTTTATTTAAAAATGTGTCAATTTTGGCTAGCTTGCAGAAAATTAAAAAAAAAACCCGCACATTATAACCGAGCACAGTGTAAGCCCAGAGTAGTATAAACTATGCATAATCCAATTATGAAACTAATACAGAAAATTGGAAAAAAAAGTAAACAAAAAGCTTTAAAACGAGCATATATAGTATAAAGCGCATAAACCAAGTACAGCATAAACCAATATACAGTAAGAAGTCATCAAAGCGCCGAATTGAGTTGAGGCAGTTATCTGAAAAGGTTTCAAATGCTGCCGAACGCTTCGATGTAATTTCCCAGAATAACCTAATTATTTCCATAGAATAAAAACTTTGCAGGCAGCATTTAAACTATTAATTACTAACCCGTATAGTAACGCTTATTTTTCCATGGTCACATTATACACGGAAATTGGGGGTTTGTCACCTCCTAAATATCTGTATAGTTCCCAAGTTGCACCCTGTGTTTATCTGGAACAATGTCCTATCGAAATGTTTAGCAAACCTGAAATAATTATACAGTTCCTCCTATAGTATATACACTCAAAACCCATAATCAGAATGCCAAAGGTGTTAAATTCATTACTTGCTCACCCATCTTGAGTCGTTTGCCTCCTTACTACACCTAAAAGAGAATACCAAAGTCGTGTGTGTTACACAACATTATACCTACTATAATTTGTCAAGTACGCATTTTAGGAATTATTTTCGACACATAGCAATTGTAATGGAACTCTATTTTTATCAGATGTTTTGTTTGTATGTTCCAATCTATGTTTAGGCAAAAGTTCAATTAGATCTTTTAAATCATCTGTTGAACAACAATTAATGTTTATAATTAGTGTTTAATTTATTTACTTTTTTCCCCTAGTTATGAAACTATAATAAATCAATATATTTCAATAACTGTTTTCTTGGATAAAAAATTGTCTAGTCTATATATTATACACGAATGACGAGTCCATAAACCAAAACCAGATTGACGAGATATCATTTTACCATAACGTACACAGTCGGTATGGTTGTCTTATTATAATCATAAGAAATATTTGCATGTACTTAACGTAAGTACACAACGCAATTTGTCACATCTATAACACATTGGTAATTATTACTGTTATTTCTTAAACATTTCTTTATTATTAAATGCGTTGGGAATGAAAAGCTTGTAAATTATATTTAACGAAAACAACCGTAAGGTAACTTCGGTCCGTCGAAGATTTTGTATATTATTCAAACAACATACATAATTATTAAAAAATTTCCCGTCAGCTTTGAAGACGGCCACCAGAATTTTGTGGGAAATGAATAATTTAGCATGTTTGTATTCTCAAGGTCCGCTTAGCTAGAATTGGTTAATTATATAACTGATATTATCTCAATCGGCACGAAAAAAAAATAGACAGGTTTCAAGAAGACATCCAACCCGCATTTCGTTATTTTTCCTCTTTATTGCACATGTTTCGTGTACGACAATTTCGCTCCGAATTAGTCAACTAGTCTGTGTAATATACAATCTTAACTTACAGCACTTATATTACTTTGGTCATTGGTCACTATAACCGGCCGGCCGCAAGAAGCGTCGATTTTTTATGCGAAGCGCGTACAACAGTGGACAGGTGGATAAGTAATAAAATGATGTAAAAGAAATAGATTTAAAAAAAAAAGAAAAAAAGATCACACGTTCTTTTTTGTTTTTGAGTAAAAGTTAATGTTTGCACAACACCGGCGGCGTAATTACCGTTATATAATTATTAATTATTACGTTTCTTTCTTGTAATGAAAATAATTATATGTAATATATGACATTTGTACATGTCTAATATAGATATAAATAATAATAATAATCGTAAGAGTGAAAACGCATGTAAAAACGTTCAATTATTTTCAATGAATTCCGTTGATTTATTAAGACTAGGTATAATATGTTGCTTTACATTAGAATAATGTTAATAAAATATAATTCAAAATTGTCAACGCTACTATTTCGATTAACCGGTATTTTCAGTTTTTCAATGAGCACATTGTATACCTACCGGTGGGGTCAGCCTGCTCCGGAGTGTCAACATAATTCACACCAAACGGAATCAAAGTAAGAGTGACCTACGGTTAAATAAATTATATTAAGTAAAGATATCATTTTTATTTTCGGATTTGGGTCATTCAGCCTTGTCGTATGCATTAGCCTATGTGTCCTGGAAAGCAAATTATATAAAAAGGATATCGTTTCCGGGAAGACTAAAGCTTGTCATCTGAAAAAAAACATCCTTCATTGGGAGGCTGATTTTGATGATAATATTATATTGTATTGAATAACAGAATGCAAATTAAATTCAATGTAAATACGGCAGGTATAAACGTTTGAAATACAATTAATACTACATGAAAATGCATATTACTATACAAATATAATTTATAAAAATACATTTTTTTTTACAGTGCCTATGTTCCCCGTTTGGATTTAAAATTTAAATGTTTTAGGCATTTGTAATTTATGGTATTAAAAATACAAGTTTATATAATATAAATAGAGGTAACTACCTAGGAATTTAGTTAATATTTATTAGCCGAGAAGCACCTATTCATTGTTGTTAGTCAAATGTATTATTATTTACAAAATACTTTATAACTACGACGTGTAATATAAAATATTAGTCAATACAATCGGCTTAGCGACACGGTTTTCTGTACAAACCAAGTTGACCGGTGCATTTTAGGTTATCTGGACATTGTTAGTTGTGATTTATGACCAATAAAAATATATTCGTTTTTTAGAAAGCTACCGTTTCGGGTAGTGTAAAATTACTAAAGCGCGAAATTGTCTTACGGCGTGAAAAAAATCACACAGTAATAGATGCATTAATATATTACAGCACTTTATTTCATCCATTAACTTTTGAGTTTTGTTTAAAGTAAACGCGGCAAAAACGCCCACCGAAATATTACTGAAAAAAAAAACCCGTCAATAAGTAATGTCCGTTGTAAAAGTAGACAACTAGTAAAATAATAATTATTATTTATATAAGCATTCTACTTAATATAATAAAAGTACTTAAACAAATTATTCAACTTTAATATTATTTATTACCTTCAATTACCTGTAGACAAACTTGGACAATTTCATACACATAAAAATAATACATGTTCGTCTAACTAAAAATATAGAGAGTAGAGACACAATACATTTTTAGTTAAAGCAACTATACATTTAGTTCGGTCAACTAAATGTTTAGTTATGCCAACTATTTATTTAGTTATTCCTACTATAAATCTAATGTGTCCCTATATTAACCATAATTATAGTTTTAAACTAAGTGTTTTTGTCACAATATTATCATATTGTAGCTTGATACGAATTCTAAACTACAAAATAATAATATGAGTAGAATGACGAAACCATAACAAAATATCATATTATAGTATAATAGGTGTTATTATCTAATTTGATTGCCGACTATAACAGCTATACTCCGTCTCACGAAATAACGGTACTGAGCATAAACCAAAATAAGTCACTTCTGATTACTTTTGTCTGCTCAGGCGCATATAAGAGTAATACCAAAAGTTGTGATTATTTTTAATTAATCATATTTAATGATACAGAAATCTGTACACTTATAAGTATGCTTTATTTTATATGAAAAAAACTTGAGGCCACCCAGCCACGCGCTCATGAATGACAGCGTTTAAGATTGTTTTATAGCAAACATTTTAATGCAACTAAACGTATAATTAAGTTTATTGGTCATTTTTGTAGCGGAAATTATTTACTATGTTTTAAATTAGTTAGGATATTTTTACTTAGAATCAAGTAAATACACACACACACATGTGACCGTTTTGGATATTATTATGGTATGTACAATTGAACCACCGCAACTTGTTATTACAGAATGGCATGGATTAGGTATATTGAATAGCAACCGTTGTTCAGTAAGTACCTACTACAATGTTGCGTCTACCTACATAATAAAAAATATTGCACGCTTTTTAAACGAACGTTATTATCATTACTACAATGTCGTATAATTTATATAGAAAACTATCTCGAGGCGGTGTAATACTATATCTCGCGAACTCGAATTTGTATACAACTGCAACGCTTCAGTGAAGGCGTTGGCGTATCACAAACAGTGGTTTCGTTTTTTGTTTCATGTGTAATATTTGCCTACATATACGTATTATGTATTTGTTTAGGTAGTAAATTAATACATATTTCATATATAGCGTGGAATAAGTATAGTAGGTGAAATCTGTTTAAGATTTAAATTGATTATTAAG